AATACCAAAGGTATTGTAAGTGAAGTACAATTAAAAATGTTGTACTAAACTAAACAAAGGGAAGAAAAAAACATAAAAGAAAGTAAAGAAAAGCTTTATTGGCGCTATTACGACAAAAAGCAAAGTAAGTATTCGGATTTGGATATTACACAAAAAGTCGGTAATCGTATAGAAATGTCAACAGGTCTCTGGGAGAGTCAAGTGTGTATCAATTGCACTTGACAAAGAGAGCCTTATTGCATACAAAGCGTTTCAGGCACTTCACAACAGGTGGCTAATCCGTCGCCGCTTTGAGCAGGTCTTTTATCTTCGAAAACCTATAAATAAGTCGTCTTCGTTTTCAGGTCCTTCAGAAGGCAATAAATGGAACAAGAAGACCTAAGAAATGTGGATGTATTGAAATGTATCAGGATAAACCAAAACATTAATATTTACGTAGACTTCAGTTTTTATTACAAGTGAGTAAACTTATAGGTATTTGAGCTGTAATTTTCTACGATTCTTTAAATAAATCAAATTATAACAGTTGTACAGATTCCCTGAACGCATTCGGTGCATCGATTATACGAGTTAAACTTAACCAACTTTAAAGTTCATGTCCCAAATAAAAAATTGAAATATTTAAACGAATATTTACCGTACCATTCCTGAAAATGACACACTGTTATTCGTAACACAAGCAAGCATTCTTTGACTCAACCGCATCGTTACTGAATCATTCAAAGAATCCCACGACAACGGATATCTCAAAAGCACAACGAAATCCGAATTATTTTTTCTCAGTACTCAATGACTCGCTAGTTTATTTTTGCATTACGTTAAATATAATTTGATTACCCGCGGCGATGGAATGAAGACGTGGAATAACGGAATGATTTACGATTGGAATTTGAAGACATGATCGGCATCAAGCAACATCAAAAGTTTGGATGGGTGACCGCTATCCGACTGAAATATTTGACACTCCTCAAAACAAGGAAATTATGAGAATGAAACCTCTTCCTGCTTACGTTATTTTTGTAAGCCGATTTTTGTGCTTGTAATCTTATAACAAGTCACGTATCCAAAACACGTCCTAATATTCAACTTACCTGCTTTTAAGATTTACATGTTGTTAGAGCAAAGCGGCCCAAGGAAAAATACTGCTACTTTAATAGGTAAAGAAAGTGAGAAGTTTGTGTGTAGTGAGAAATTTCAGGAAAAAGTCCTCTACCTTTTACTGGTTTCAACAGAGCCGGGGCGGAACGCTAGTAAACCATAAGAAAAGCACGAAAAAAAGGAAACCAAGCAGAGCTTACAAGATAAAATTAATTAATCATAATTTATCTTTAATCTGTAATGTGAGCTTGCGGAAAAGCTCGCCTCATTCAAACGCGGCCGCTAAAAGCTGCGCCGAAGGACTTTCTGCGGTTTGAAAACGCGAGTGTCATCAACCTCTTATTAGGTCATTGACCGTCGCGTAGTCACGTGACTTTTCGATAGTTTGTCACTCTAACATTTTTCAGTGAGATTAGAGCTGATGTGATCGAGTTGGACAAGTAAAACGATTTGCAAAAGAAAAATATTCATGTCTTGCGTCGTCAAAGATCTTTCATTTGCGTAGGAACAAGAAATCACAAAAATTAAAAGCAGAATGAAAATTTTTCAATAAAACTCTTGAATCTATTCTGCGAATCATATTCCTACATAAAACCGTGAATATTTAACTTTTTATAACAATTACCTACATACTTTAAAAGCGAATATACCGATTTGGTTATGTTGAATACCTACCTGTGACGGCTCATAAAGTACATACTTAATAACTTAATTTTTTCAGTCAGGCACCTCACACAAAGTTATAAAAAAGCAGTATACAAATAAAAATATTTCCGAAAACGAAATGCCACATGTAACCAAATATTTTAATTGAAAGTTTTATTATTTAAAAAAGTTTTACTTTTACGAGAGCTTTGACAGCGCCCATCTAAAAAGTATTTCGGGAAACAACTCAAAGGGAAGAGACCAAATACGACCATCTGCAAACATAATATTTCATTGTTGTTTGATCCATATTTTTGTGTTATCGAGATTTCCCAACGCTAGCCGAAGGGCAGTGCGCACGCGCCGATATTATAAATGATGACCCATTGAAAAGGGTATACCAGATTTTTTAAACAAGACAAGTACCTACAGTTAGTACAGTCCGCAGGAATATAGTGGCAAAATAGCTTAATGTGCTATCGTTTCTATGAAATGTAATTAAAATCTAATACTGAATGAAATCTTAGAACTCTATCTTAAAAAAAAGTTCTGAAGTCACAATTTAAGTATGAACGGATGAACAACAACCATGGAGTCCGTTTTAGTTAAATAAGAGAGACGTATCTTTCCTTATTTACTAATTGTAACATTAATATGATTAATTAATCAACATTCATTTTGCAATACTCATCACAATATTATCTGAATTATATAACTTAATATGGCGCTTTGGACTTTCTGTGAGCCTTCAAGCAGAAATAAATAAATAAATACATAGGCTATTTGGCTAATTATTGGTCGACTTCATTTGTTGCAAATACGTCGGCGAATACAGTGAAGGAAGATTTGGAATAATTTTATTGTGTCTTATTATAACTTTATCTTACTCTACCTACATTATTTCTTCAATCTACATTTATTAATTAATTCCTCAATATCTAACCAATGAAAGTTTTATGCACAACTACGAGTAGGAAGTGTATTTGAAAGCAGTAACTTCACAATTTTCTCGTGTAGTTCTGTATTGCTTCACTGCCGACTGTACCAGATAGTGATGAGTGGTTATTTTAAACCCAACCTTGAGATGCTCGCAGCAATACAGGGTCATAATAACGTTATTGCGATCGGTAATAAATAGGTCTGCTGTGCAACTACCATCCGACCGTTTTGGGACCGAATGGGCACACGGTTAAAACTATTAGTTGTAAACAGTTATCTGTGGCTGTAACTATAGATATGTAGGTAGTCTACATTAATCTATCTACACTCGGCATCAAATAAATCGCACCTCCCGCAACAAGCACTTCTCAAACGTATGCATCCCCACTTCCTACCAACATTGGTTCCATTTGAAAGCCTAGTTCTAAACTTAATTTCATTAAAGGAAAGGTTTTTACCCTAAAAATGTGTTTTTAGAAGGATCCGGAGTCACTTCTTCAAAAAATAGGTAGTTACGCTTGAGCCCAATTTTATGGCTATAAAACTGTTAAATTGGGATTAATCGCTATCCATCTGTTAAAAAGGAAACGTAATATCATTATTTGGTTTTATAACCACAAAAATTGGTCTGATTGTTCCCAGAGGTGGGTCCCACCCAAGTGAGGCCTTTTTTCAAGTCACATTTATGGTACCTGTTAAGTGTTTATAAAAAAAATAAATGTATTTTTCTTTAAGTTTATTTATTGGGCTTTCAATAACACCAATATTGTTGGGGCACCATGACTGTGTCAGAAGAAAATCTGTAAAGTTCGCGTCGCGAAAGGTGCGGTTTATTTGATGTTGAGTAGGTATATATAAAAGTGAAAGGTCACTAACTGACTCACTCATCACGAAATCTCAGAAACTACAAGTATTAGAAGTCACAAATTTTGCATGGGGGTTCCTTTTAGAACGTTAGGTGTCGTTTCTTTTAAACGTGTTCCACGCGTACGAAGTCGCGGGCGGCAGCTAGTTTTGATTTGTGCTCCATCATCCTCATCACATCAACTCTTCGCGTATGATATATCACTGGGAGGGAACTAAGGTATCGCGTCAGATCCTTGATTATTTTTACAGCAAAGATAAATATCCTTGGACATTTTTTACACTGCGTCGCTAGCCCCAAACTAAGCAAAGCTTGTACTATGGGTACTAGACAACGGATATAAACATACTTAAATACTTTTTTTTTGTAAATACATACATATTATACATAGAAAACACCCAGACCCGTCGCAGAAATTAAAATTCATCATTCCAATTTCTGCCCGGCCGGGAATCGAACCCGGGACCTCTCGGCATAGTAGTCCGTTCTGAACCGCACCAAACGGCCGACAAGATAAAGATAAGTAATATACCAATGCAAAAGGCTGGATCTAGATCTATACCTTACCCTCATTCATAGTTTGAAAGCTTTTAGAATCTACTCATTCGTTTTAAATAACTTTAAAAACTAACATGGTCATATTTTAGCCTTTTTATCTTGGTTATAAACCCGTATCTACCTATTATCACATCTCTACAATCTTTCTAACGATCTCCGCGCTCATAAGTAGGTACTTCGAGGGTTATTGTGAGAGTTATTTCCTCCCACTATATTGCTTCCTTTTCCTCCGACTACCTCACAATGTGTTCACAACAACCGACTTAGTGTGCACAAAGTTGCTAAGAGATTTAGGGAACGATTAAGTGGGAAAACAATGCATCATAAAAGTAATCAAGAAAATTCGGTATTTAGTTTAGTAGTAGTTTAGTTATCATTTAGATAAAAAAAAGTTTCCTGACCTTTATGAGGTCGTCGGTCCAACTTATAAGTGGACACCACGTCCCGTGTTGCGCATTTTCGTAAGTGGCCTTCACTCCATAAACGACGGCCTCATAAAGGTAGCAGGAAGGCACTGGATGCAGGCCTCTACCAACCGGTCGATATGGAAATCATTGGGGGAGGCCTATGTTCAGCAGTGGACGTCTTGTGGCTGGTATGAACGTATTTATTTAGGTCTTTATACTTTTTAAAGTACCTACTACTTTCCCACACTTTTTAGAAGGACCATTAGAACACTTAGATATTTTACAATTATAGCCTCTATCATCATGACAATAAGCAGTTACATATCTCTCATTTACCCTAAACTAGCACTGTCTGAATGAGAGGTGACTACCTGATACAGGTATACTTTTACTTACCTACTAGGTATGTCACCACAATGTTTGTAAAAATTGTTTTGTTAACGAACGAAACATTTTTGATTTGATTTGATTTTTTTTCTCTATTCCAGGACAAGATGAGTGCAGTGGAGACCCCGGCCGCGGAACCGACGCCGCCCGCGCCGGCGGGGCCCGCCGAGACCCCCACGGGGGCCGACGGCACGGGGCCCCTGATCCCGGTGCCCCCGGCGCCCCGGAAGCCCCCGCGGCGGGGCCCTAAAGTCCAGCAGGAGCGGCCGAAGAGAGCGATCTTCTGTTTGACGTTGAAGAATCCGCTGAGGAAAGTGTGCATCGATATCGTGGAGTGGAAGTATCCTTTTCAAAATACAGGCAAAATTGACGGTTTTTAGTTAAAATATTATCTAAGCCCGATTGGCTTGAATCAGGTGGAATCAAACAGGGTTTTAGGCTCTTACAGGGCAGATATGTACACACGGCCACAGTTTTACCTATCCATTTCCGTTTTTGCTCTCGCTCTCATCAAATGGTGATTCTTTGCGATAGAACGAGACGGCATGACCGGCAATGGGCAGTTAACACTGTTGCCGATAGAACCATCCTAGACTGTATCCCACTTAACACCGTGCGATAAATGGTCAAATAGACCTGCCTTGTTATGGCATACAAAAAAATTGGTCAAGAAGCATCATATTGTTGGACAATCTTTTGCCACCTGCGCATTCAACTTGGACCTACAATTTTAATCTCTAGGAACTTTGTTCCTAAACTGCATCATAAACGCTGGCTTTTTAGGTTTACCAATTATTTCTCATTAGCTTCATGGTCAGGGCAGTCGCCCGGCAAGTTTAAGGTCATAGGTTCAAGTCTCACCTGGAGCATAGACTACTTAGTTACCTGGAGTAAACAATAATGTTTAATTTGTAATTGAAATAAAAATAACCATAAACGTAGCAGTCGATTAGCCGATAGCATTCATGTGGTAGCACGAGCGAGATGTGGTTGCGATACTGTTGGATTACGGCCAACAAATCCGTTTGCTAGCTCCAGTAGGGTTCCGCAGGTGAATGTCCAGGTGTACTCGCAATATTTTTTTTTCTTGAGAACCTCCTCCTTTTTTTAAGTCGGTTAAATAGTGACTCTTGTCCGCTCAGAAGTTTACATAAAATATGTTAGTGAGCACGATGCGTTCTTGCCTGCCGTGTGTCAAAGCTTTTATCGTTTTGATTCATAACATTTTTAAGGTTTTTTCTGCTTGTTTTGTTTGTTACGTGTTGTAGGGACTTATTTGTATACCTAAATACATTTTGTTAAATGTCAGTATTTGTAATTTAAATTCACCACTCCAACCTTCTGCCTCGCCTAAGGTTGACTGGGAGAGAATCCACACGCATCATTTCCGCCAAGTGTATTTTTCATACAGTAAGGATGGGAAAATTTATCTTATAAATAAAATACCATTCGTCAAAGTTCAAAATAATCTTACTGAACCAAATTCAAGAAATTCAAATCACGCTTGGCTTATCAATTTAATATATGTATTGATCAGCGAATTTATTTTTGCCCTGCCTGGTTGAGATTTTTATGCGGCACAATATAAACATTTTGATCGTGTAACGTCAATTATTGACAGGTTTTACGTAGGTAATCGTGTATTTAATTATTTTTCTCAGTCAATCATCGGGCAATAGGCAAAAAAAAAAAAAAATAGGCAAAAAATACATTCCGCGATAAAAAAAACTTGTGTGATTAAAAAGTTCGCAAAACTATTTTGCAACTCTTTAAAACACTGAGAAATTAAAACGATTGATATTCTGCTAACACAGCATTGCCCCTCTCAGTAGATGATTTCCTCAATTCTTCAAAGAAAGAACTTTAGGAATTACAAACGTTACAAGTAGGTAACTATTTACCAGTATACTGTGTCATTTTCATAAAAAAGTAGGTCCAACACATTTTCTCGGGGCACTAAACCCAAACCCAAGGGTTAGTCCCAACGGCCCCGGTGGATCTGCCCCGTCAACGGGGCGGATGGGAAAAAGTGTTTCAACGACCCCGGTAGTCATAGTCTTAGCGTTCAACGGGGTGGATGGAACACATCAAGTGTCAACCACCCCGGTATATCGTTTAACGGGGCGGATGGATCAAATCAAGTTTCAACCACCCCGGTATTTAACTAAACGTGAAGGATGACACAGATCTAAAAGGTTCCACCTCGGTATTACATACTGAAAATAAAACCTGTTAATAAAATAAAATAAATAATGTAAATAATAATCAGTTTTATTTAACAGTCACCGTTTAAAAAATCTTCAGCATAAAAGTAAGTTTGATTGTCACAAATATTATGGTCATAAACCTATAGATTACGTTTAGAATCACAGATGCGCAATTACATCAATCAGTCAACATTAATAACACTCTAATAGTCTAATTTGATAAAAAGTAACTCTAAAACTCCTCACTAACAAAATATAATAACAAGGAAATCTAAAATTGTTACAAAATATAATTATTATTTAAGAATCACAGATACGTAGTTACATTAATCAGGTGTTGATTAACAATAGAACTTAAACTACTACTTAAATAAATCACTATTAAAAAAGCAACCGAATATCATAGAGTTGTTAAACATACTGCTCAGCGACGCCTCCTATTATGAAGAGATTTCAAAACAAGTAGAAAATCTGTCAGCATCTCAGCAGTGTAATCTTTACTTTGGGACGACTTTATTATAGAAAAAACAAAGGAATTTTTGAATGGCCAAATGGGGTGCCCTCTCAGACGCATAACATTTTTCATCATAATTTAGTTTGGCATAACAGTATTTGCATACAGTTTTTTCGCATAAACTTTGATATGCATAGTTTTCTAAATGCATAATTGTTTCTTAGGCATAATAATAACTTTCTCTAATTTTCAATACCATAATTTAAATAATCATAAATGTAAAAAACATAATTTTTATATTCCTAAAGTTTATTTTTAATAAAATACGATAAACATAATGTAATTATTTATAACATTTAAAGTCATAAATATTGTCTATAAGAGCAACCAACATGTGATGTTGCGAACGATCTTCCTTCCACCTTTACACTCTTTCGGCTTTCGTAATTTGTAAAAACTAATTTCTCTGTGTTTTTGTCATTTTTGTTCTTAATTTTTGAACTGTCTCTTAGAAAACTTAAGCTCGTGAAAATACATTCTGTTTGATCTCGAATCCCTCTTTATACAGTATGAGTCACGTTAAAGTGTACATTATGAAAATAGATGAAATCGTATATAGTAGTAATAGTTTCATCTATTTTCATATGCTTTGCTGAGCAGTATGTTTAACAACTCTATGATATTCGGTTGCTTTTTTAATAGTTTTATTAAGCTTTATTAATGATTTATTTAAGTAGTAGTTTAAGTTCTATTGTTAATCAACGCCTGATTAATGTAACTACGTATCTGTGATTCTTAAATAATAATTATATTTTGTAACAATTTTAGATTTCCTTGTTATTATATTTTGTTAGTGAGGAGTTTTAGAGTTACTTTTTATCAAATTAGACTATTAGAGTGTTATTAATATTGACTGATTAATGCATCTGTGATTCTAAACGTAATCTATAGGTTTATGACCATAATATTTTGTGACAATCAAACTTACTTTTATGCTGAAGATTTTTTAAACGGTGACTGTTAAATAAAACTGATTATTATGTACATTATTTATTTTATTTTATTAACAGGTTTTATTTTCAGTATGTAATACCGAGGTGGAACCTTTTAGATCTGTGTCATCCTTCACGTTTAGTGAAATACCGGGGTGGTTGAAGCTTGATTTGATCCATCCGCCCCGTTAAACGATATACCGGGGTGGTTGACACTTGATGTGTTCCATCCACCCCGTTGAACGCTAAGACTATGACTACCGGGGTCGTTGAAACACTTTTTCCCATCCGCCCCGTTGACGGGGCAGATCCACCGGGGCCGTTGGGACTAACCCATAGATAAATTTACGAATCTATTCTGTTTTCCTAAGGTCTAGTTTTTCACCGCCGTTAAAGAGGTCACGTGACATTTAAAGTTTCTAGCAAAAACGAAAGTCGAAAGTGTTGGGACGCGTATTGCCGAAATTGGCAATTATCCAGTATTGTGAACAGGGATACCATTTGAGAACATGGAAAGTTCAATCAAAAAGCCGGCAATGTGACTAAACTCTACACGTAATATTTAATATAAAATAAACCTCAGTATGTAAATAGAAAACCCGGACAAGTGTCGGAAAATCCGGACAGTCTCGGACAGGCGGCAACCCTAGCCGCAAATAAATTGATTGCATCCAAATTCTAATTATCATACCTACATTAATTATGTAAAAAATGACAGTAAAAAGAAAACCCAGAAAAGTGTTCGGTTATCCGGACTAATCCGGACAGGCGGCAACCCTAGCTGCCAATGAATGGATGGCATCCGCGGATGTCATGTCCGTTTCTGCGAACTTTGTTTTCGCGAAATATCTTCTTGAAAGCAAACAAATCGTTTCTGATGTCTCAGTAGGCGTATTCTGTGATTTTACGATCTTTTAACACTGGCACTAATTGTCTGGCTTTCTTTTTAATTGATTCGTAAATTAGCAGAAAAATAAAAGAATAAAACGAGATGACGATTTACTAGGAAACGTTAAAATACGACGAATGAGCGGACGACGATAATTATGATGTATTTATTTTATTTATTTATATAATTATTTATTTACACTTTTGCATATACAACTGTACAGTGGCGGACTTAATGCCAGGTGGCATTATCTGCCAGTCAACCACAGGTCGAGTAGAGAGACTAAGGCGGTGTAATGGCATGGCGCATAAATCTACAAGTTTTAAACTTGATAGGTACAATAAAAAAAACTATTAAAACACTTTATGACCCTTGACTCGGCACCAGACCGTTCGAGTGGATGATCCTGACAACGATCTTCGCGAACTGCATCGCGCTGGCGGTCTACACGCCCTACCCGGCCAGCGACTCCAATTACACCAACTCTGTCCTCGTGAGTAGCAGCTGCTTCTGATTCATCATCGTCACTTTTATCATTATCATCTTTATCATCACCATCATTATTATTATGATCAGGTCATTTCCACCGCAGGAGTACGACTCTTTCTACTTTAATGGAGGATTTGGCTTACACTCCCCACGCTGACTAAGTAAATGGGTTGGGTTGGTGTTTAACTTTTATTAAATAAGTTTGTCAAAGAGGTGAATCAAAAAATTATTTCCTTGTCACATGGTAGATGCAGGTAGTATCCATACAATAAAAGTACCTACCTTGCACACATGACTCCCCGATATGATATTATAAATAATGAAACTTTCCCTAGCTATATTATTTTCAAAGTTGCATTGATTCCCTTGCACAGGGGTCTCCAAACTTTGAAACCTTGGGACCATAATATTTTTTTCGGTATGTAGCAAGAGCCATAACAATTTAATTTTTTCTGCCCACCTATGTAAACATAGGCTTAGTCTAAGCTGTCGCAAGCCGGATTGATGGCAGTGGCGGGCCGGATATGGCCCGCGGGCCGTAGTTTGGAGACCCCTGCCCTAACTCAATCAATACTGATGCAATTGGACTTTATACTGAACATGATCTACTTTTTTTTCCAGGAAAAGATAGAATACGTGTTCCTAGTGATATTCACGGGGGAGTGCGTGATGAAGATCATCGCGTACGGCTTCATCATGCACCAGGGCTCGTACCTGCGGAACGGCTGGAACTTGCTCGACTTCACCATAGTGGTCATTGGGTAAGTGTTCGAAGGAACTCCTAGGTCCGATCACACGTACCGAGCAAACGGGCGAGACAGTGCTCTCGGCCGAATACTCGATGTATAGAACATTACGCCGAGTGCTCGAGTATGTGACTTGCACACCCAACTGTCTCGACCGAGTAAACATTTTACTGTCTCGCCCGATTACTCGGTACGTGTGATCAAGGCTTAAGGCTGTTGTCGCGCTCGCACACTCACTGCGGCCGCCCGTTGTACAGTCGCGGCAGCATTATATCGCGCGAGCGATAAGGATGGGTAGCTCGGGGTCATTGGACGAAATTCTACGTGCTGCGACCTACTTTAGAACAAAGAATTAGCGTACCTTTAGCGTAAAGGTTACTAAACTATCCTTTTGAACAGACGGTAACTCCTTCGAATATAACGAGTAAATTAATCTCTAACCCCTGAATCAAGTATCTATTTTCCAATCTACACGATATATCTTAGAATAAATGCTTCTTCTTATTTTTCTCTCCATGTTGTTTTAATAATAAACCCAAATGGATCAATCAATCGTCTTTTGTTTGTTTCAAAAGGTGTTCACGCAGTTTTATGAAGAAATGTATTAATTCCCCATTTCGCAGTATGGTGAGCACGGTGTTGTCGAGCATATTCAAGGACGCCTTCGACGTGAAAGCCCTGCGAGCGTTCAGAGTCCTCAGGCCTTTGCGGCTCGTGTCCGGAGTGCCCAGTGAGTATGAACCCTTCACGATTTACCTACAGGGTGGAATTTTGAAATGCCACCTGGAGGGAAAGTGCTCTTAAAATTGTAGATAGAAAATTTTACTCAAAGAAAACATTCCTTTATTTTCGAAAAGAAATAGAACTGCATTCAAAGATTTCCAAAAATTTGTTTACCACACCCGGGAATCGAACTAACTAAAATCTGTTAAAAATTACACCCTGTATTTTGATTGCATCGGTTAGCGACCGATGCAATAAAAATACAGGGTTAAGTGTAAGGACGAAATCTCTCTAACAAACTTAATAAATTAAATGAAAGGAATAAACCATGATAAATTATTTAAATTATTTCCAAAAAATGTTAAGCTATGGTGGTGAATTTTCGAAAAAAAATCGGAAATCTTTGAATACTGTTCTTTTTATTTTTAAAAATGAAGGAATGTTTTCTTTGAGTAAAATTTTCTATTTACACTTCCCTTCAGGTGGCATTACAAAATTCCACCTTGTATGTATGTATAACCCTTCAGGGCAACAAGCGTAGCAAAGACGTACTTATTGTTATCTTGAAAGCGATGAATGTCCTGATCCACCATCCATTATAGGCTCCAGCCATCAGTGTGGAGTGTGAGATAATGGATGGTATTTGTTTGTTTACACATACAATGTCACTATTTTGTTGCAATTTCTTACAAAACTTGCGCCCAAAAAGTAAATCTAGTATGTAAAATCATCAAACTTCTAACGCTCGTAACTTAGTTCAGACTTAGGTTGTCATGTCATAGTTTCACTATTTTGTATTCCAATAAACAAGGTTTGGTCGATGGCCGCGCGAAAAAAAAAGACGCCACCTTCCATACAAAATCTGGCATTGCCATTTTACCTTTTGCGTATTTGTTTTGATTTTCATACGCCTTTCAGATATATTATTATACTAGCTTTCCGCCCGCGGCTTCGCCCGCGTGGAATTTTGTCTGTCACAGAAAAACTTTATCGCGTGCGTCCCTGTTTCAAAAACCGGGATAAAAACTATCCTATGTTCTTTCCCGGGACTCAAACTATCTCTATGCCAAATTTCATCAAAATCGGTTGCGGGGTTTAAGCGGGAAAGCGTAACAGACAGACAGACAGACAGAGTTACTTTCGCATTTATAATATTATTAGTTGGGATTTCCAGTGACCCCAGCTCTAAATCAAAAACACCATCATGATTTTCTAATGCAGGTCTACAGATCGTGTTGAACTCCATCCTGAAGGCCATGGTGCCGTTGCTGCACATCGCTCTGCTGGTCATATTCGTCATCATCATCTACGCCATCATCGGCCTAGAGCTGTTCTCGGGGAAGATGCACAAGAGCTGTTATAATAGGTTCACAGGTTTGTCTACCTTTAATGCTCAATTCAGTATTAGTTATTTTAAGTTTATCGTTTTCTTTGCCTTATGATGTCTCATTAATAATATTTCTTCTCTCTTTCCTCAATCAACTTCTAGCTAAGTAAAATTTGTAGTCGTCTGAGGGCCTATTAGTAGGGAATTTAGTGCAAGAACCCCTCCACTTTGGTATAGAAGGCTCATTTTTGCAACAGTGGTTTTTTGGGTGCTCCTGAGTGGATTTCCGTCGGTAGACATCGGGAGCCCCCCCTGTGATAGCAGGGGGAGGGGGGGCAAGTTTCCTTCCGCCGCGCTTCACTTTAAGGCCCATATCTTCAAAACTATGGGTATTAGGGCAAGTGTAGTATCATTTTCGGATAATTAAAGGATGGCGAATTCATTTCTAGAACAAATTTTTTGCCTTTTCATACAAAAAAATAGAAATATTGAGTAAAATTCACAAAAACCAAAAAGTATTTTTTTAAATAAACGTCGTTTACTTTTAAACCACTGGAGATAATCTAATAAAAAAAATATGACCTGAAAGCTACATTTATCAGGATTACAAAAATATAACATTGTATGGTACTTTTTTCGCAAAAAGTAGGTGAAAAAAATTTTTTCTTCAGGACACAGCGGGCGAATTTTATTGCGCATCGGAAAAAAATATTTATTTTATCCATGAATTCATCTTGCTTGCTTATGAACCAAATAGTATGAATTCATGGATAAAATAAATATTTTTTTCCGATGCGCAATAAAATTCGCCCGCTGTGTCCTGAAGAAAAAATTTTTTTCACCTACTTTTTGCGAAAAAAGTACCATACAATGTTATATTTTTATAATCCTGATAAATGTAGCTTTCAGGTCATATTTTTTTTATTAGATTATCTCCAGTGGTTTAAAAGTAAACGACGTTTATTTAAAAAAATACTTTTTGGTTTTTGTGAATTTTACTCAATATTTCTATTTTTTTGTATGAAAAGGCAAAAAGTTTGTTCTAGAAATAAATTCGTCATCCTTTAATTATCCGAAAATGATACCACACTTGCCCTAATACCCATAGTTTTGAAGATATGGGCCTTAAAGTGAAGCGCGGCGGAAGGAAACTTGCCCCCCCTCCCCCTGCTATCACAGGGGGGGCTCCCGATGTCTACCGACGGAAATCCACTCAGGAGCACCCAAAGAACCACTGTTGCAAAAATGAGCCTTCTATACCAAAGTGGAGGGGTCTCCATACAAATCATTGCACTAAATTCCCTACTATATTGAAGTTTACATCAAAAGCGCTCACTATAAAAAAAAATACAGTAAATGTACGACGGATTGTACAGCGCCCCTAGCAGAAATGTTCAAGAACTAAAATTTTCATACATTTTTTTAACGTGCTCACTAGTGAGGACATTATTTTGATGTAAACTCACACTCAGCCCACAGATCACAAAAAGAGGTCAATTTCTCAGTTCATTTTTGCTGGTCAAAAATTGTACTCCTGAAAATAATTGACGATGTAATCAAGTAATTAATTTTAAAAAATATACAAATAGTAATTTTATGCGAACTTCTATCTTTTACTTGTGTTAATACAAGTAAAAGATAGAAGTTCGCATAAAATTGCCATGTTTGAAATACAAGAGCTAAAGTACGGCCAACTAGCAGCGATACAAAAAGTCGATACGTTATCGAATTGATTCTGTCTCTTCCCATCTTGTGTATAATTTGTCGTAATGTCTCGTTCTCCCGCCAAAATATGTCTTGTTCATCCATAACATTGGGTTTGTTTACATTTGGTATCGCTTCTCGTTGGCCGTACTTTACTTGCTTTTATGGGCATGACAAAAATCTCAATGTTTCATCTTTTATTTTCCGAACCAAAATTCTCCTCCAGATCAAATCATGGATACGCCTCACCCTTGCGACTTGGACAACGGGTTCAACTGCTCCACCATCGGCGAGGACATGGAGTGCCGTGAGGGCTGGATCGGGCCCAACTTTGGGATCACCAACTTTGATAACTTCGGCCTCTCCATGCTTACCGTCTTCCAGTGCATCACGCTTGAAGGCTGGACCGATGTTATGTACCATGTGAGAGTCTTCTTTATCTATAATGTTGAAATATAAAATATTCTTTTTAGTTGCTTGTAATTCTAATTATTATATTGACGTAGTCTCTGTTCAAGGAGAACACGTTGCAACTTTAGGTTATCCCACCACCAATTCAGGATAACATTCATCAACTGCTACTAAGGAATGGCACAAAAAATATCAAAGCAGTCTTTCAGTTTTAATTATTACATTATTAAGTAGAGCAACTACAACATAGTCGTAAATAAAGACACAGGGAAAATAACAAATTACTATGTTGCCTTTCAGATACAAGATGCGATGGGAAACAGCTGGGAGTGGATATACTTCGTGTCAATGGTCATTTTGGGAGCTTTTTTTGTTATGAACCTAATTCTCGGTGTGTTATCTGGGTAAGTTTTATATTCCTTATAAGTAGGTATATCGTAGGTATAACGGTAGACCTTGCAAGAGTAAACTTCTAACTTTTCGTTAAATTTTAGAGAGTTTTCCAAAGAAAGAGAAAAAGCAAAAAACAGAGGAGACTTTCAGAAGTTAAGAGAAAAGCAGCAATTAGAAGAAGATCTGAAGGGCTATCTTGACTGGATCACACAGGCAGAGTATTTAGAACCGTTGGCAGATCAACACGACGTAGTGGATCAGAAAAGAGATTATGGAATAGGTCTGTATTTTTCATTCGCATATTTCCAAATTTTTGGAAATAATTCCAATAAAATGGGCCAGAAAATAAACGATTTGGTACTTTCAGGACCAGCGCTAAATGAACACGACTCCACAGATCATTTAGGTATTGAAACTAATGAGCAGCAGAAAGTGTCCATAACGAAACTATGGAAAAAAGATTTTGATAAAGTAAGTAACTCTATGAAGTCGTGCAGTAGGGAGAGGCATCGTGTACTTGACTAATATCTTCTACTTTATCCAGGTAAACCGTAGAATGAAAAGAGCGTGTAGAAGAGCCGTGAAATCACAAACATTCTACTGGCTTATCATAGTGCTAGTATTCATGAACACAGTGGTCTTAGCCAGTGAACATTATAAGTAAGTAATCATTAAAATTGAGATGGTCTTCTAATCTTGACAAGGGATATTAAGATGATAATATTTCGTTTTCAGGCAACCAGAATGGCTGGACCTATTTCAAGAGTACGGCAACGCGTTCTTCGTAGCACTTTTTACTTTAGAGATGCTTGTAAAAATGTACAGTTTAGGATTACAGGTAAGATTATTATTAGTTATCGATCCTAAATGATCCATCCAAATTAATAAAAGTAGAAGAAGACAATAAGAAGGAAGAGAAATAGTGGACTAAGTAGTACCACTCTATAGGTCATAACAGACTTATCAACATCGTATCGCCTTTCGCGAGCTGCAACCGCGAGGCGAGGCGTTTACTTAAGGGGTGGATAAGTGTCGCCTCGAGGTTATACGGTTACGATCAACTTATCCACGGTTACGATCCACTATTTCTCTTCTTTCTTCTTGTTTTCAGAAAGTCACGATGGTGGTTTTCATTGTGCCCTAATTATACTTGAATAACCTTTCAGGGCTACTTCGTGTCATTGTTCAACCGGTTCGACTGCTTCGTCGTGATCGGCTCCATCAGCGAGATGGTGCTGACGAAGACCGAGGTGATGCCGCCGCTCGGCATCTCTGTGTTGAGATGCGTCAGGCTTCTAAGAGTGTTTAAGGTCACCAGGTAAGATGGTTCTTGCACTATCACCTAACTTAATGTTATCTAGCAAAAGTGCAAAGAGTATTGGAGCAAGATTATCCTATTATGTCATACTTTGTTCCGAAATAATAATATTAATTTGGTTCTTAGAAGAAGTTAAATGGTAAATAATGGACGGTAGCCACGGTAGCCCAACAGTCCCTCAGTGCCGAACTGCCGATTCGAGGGTCATCAGTTCGAATTCCGTCATCACCTAGACGTGTGATATCTATCATCGGAGTGGACCTAAGATGATAGATGGCACTTCTCTATAATTTTGCGTTTCGAACTTCTCACTTTAGCCAATCATTGAATTGAATCATTTTATTCACTGCTCGTCAATATCAATAAATTGAATCAATTTATTCACTGGTCATCTGTCCATCTCCAGATACTGGCGCTCTCTCTCCAACCTGGTGGCGTCTCTGCTCAACTCCATCCAGTCCATCGCGTCCCTGCTGCTGCTTCTCTTCCTCTTCATCATGATCTTCGCGTTGCTAGGCATGCAGGTCTTCGGGGGCAAGTTCAACTACGACCCTGTGGAGGAGAAGGACAGGCACAACTTCGACTGCTTCTGGCAGGCATTGCTGACTGTTTTTCAGGTAAGTAATATTGACATGTGTTGATATTTCCCTTTTTCGACATTTCACCATCCCCTGGCCTGATGATGGGATCCCGTTGGTGATCAATGCTAGTCTTATAAGCGCAAACGTTTAAATTCAAATTGTTTTAAATTTTCCTAATAAGATAACTTCATGTATCGTATTCCAGATCTTGACAGGTGAAGACTGGAATGCTGTAATGTACGAGGGCATCAAGGCGTACGGTGGGGTGGGCTCCTTCGGCATCCTGGCCTGCATATACTTTATCATCCTCTTCATTTGCGGCAACTGTATCCTTTACATTACCACTTTTGGTATTCACAAGTCTAGCTAAGACCTAATTTGTTAAAAAAAGATTCATTAATTTATGATTAGAAAAAAATTGTGATTTCCTTGACTCTGTTTTGTACAGATATTCTACTGAACGTGTTCTTGGCTATCGCTGTAGATAACTTGGCCGATGCCGAATCATTAACCAACATCGAAAAGGAAGAAGGAGTAAGTTTCAATATCATGTTGTTAGATATTTGATGGTTCAACAGTGTTACCCTGTAGTACTCCAACAAAACACTTAAGGTTTTGTCTTGATTCCTGAATTGCATCTACTTGTTCAGGCTGCGGAAGAAAAAGAAGGAGGCAGCGTGGTAGAACCTGAGGGTGTGCATATAGACACTGATGACGAGTACATACATGATGATGATGCGTATACTACAGATAAGTAAGAGATTTTTTATCCTTTAAGTAAATTAAATATATCGCTAATTAAGATAGATTGAAAATTTTTAACTCTTGGTAATTTAGCTCCGAAAGAGAATACGAAGAAACAGGCTCAGAAGGGGAGCATCAAGAGGAAATAGATGGCGAAGGAGAAATGGAGATGGGCGAAGAAGAAAACGGTATCGATAGAATAGAGGAGGAACAGGAGAGAGGTGAAGACCAAGAGATGATGGAGAGCCATCAAAGAAATCACATTGGTATGTATGATGAAATTTTAGACATAGTTAATGATCCCAAAATTCTCCTACGAAAAGGGATTGGTGTGATAAATTTTGTATGTGACCAATGCAAATATTTGTTAGAGAAATTCAATGTTTGTGAAACTATATCAGTAATTAATTTAGATATAATATAAAACAAAGATTGCAGTGATAAATGAACAGTGAGTGAAATGAGTAGTGTTTAAGCAAAGCCTATTGGAATTGGTCATATCAATATTGATGATACGTTTGTGGCGGTGATGGCTAACCTTATGAACATAGTGAACACAGACATGGATGAAGAGCCGCGTCTGAAACGAAAGCCGACGACGTCGTCGGCTCGGCCGCGGCGCCTGTCGGAGGTCGATATTCACGACACAAAGAAACCCATCCCTGAGGCATCGTCATTCTTCATATTTTCCAAAACGAACAGGTTAGGGAGCTGGCACCGGCGGACATTTGAGCTTACTGAATTGATTAGATGTTATTTTCCGTAAAGTTTTTTAATTTGGACCTTGCCTTTGATTGGTTTATTGACACTGAATCAATCAAAGGCAAACTTCTTATCTATTTTACGCCTTTCATCTTTCTCGAACTTAATATTTTCGGATTATGTAATTAATTTTATTTATTCTTCTCACATATTAGCTAATCTCACTTTATTTATGTTTGCCTTTATACATTTATTATTATGATTAAAGTTTTTTTCTAAGTGTAGGATTTTGAGGTACTTAAGCATTCACAGGAGGCTCAGCATGGATCCGATAGCGATTAATTATAGTGTAGTATTAATGATTAAAGAGTTCTAGTTCAAAAACACTGTCGTCATTTTCTATCTCACAAAGATGGCGGCCAGTCTGAAGAGGAGGGCACACTGGTAACCGCCCGGCCGCGGCGCGTGTCCGAACTGAATATGCCCAATCAGACGCCGCCTATACCGAACGCTAGTAGTTTCTTCGTATTCTCACCAACAAACAGGTGATTGGTGAACAATCCGCCGTTGTGGTACCCGTATCTCATTGTACGAACGATTGGCATTGTGTCGTCGAGCCCTGAGCCTTTCATATCACTCATCCCTGTGACTGTCCTGTCTGGATCATTGTCGTGACATTTATCATTGTCTAAATGCACGAGTGTTGTGACTTATGGTTTTACCTGGAACAAAATTTCAAACAATGAGGAAACTGGGTACTACTATCCCATTAGAGTTTAGGTCTATTAGTCTCCAAGCATGGACTTGAATCTTTAGATGATCCTAGACTTAGCATAGTGGGTCCTTCCTGCAAACATTAGGCACATCGCGCATGATTGCATGAACTATATTATTCATAACAGCTGTTTGTTCTGGTGTATTTTGAATGATCGATGTGTTTTTATTTGCATGTGCTTTGTCTGATTTATTTTACTAGCAGCAATATGTAATACCTGCTTTATACCTTTGTAAAATTTCTCAAACCCTTTTAATATTGTAATAAATATACGTAATTATGTTTATAAATGTTGTGAAGCTTTAAGTGTCGTGTGTAAACCTTTATGATTATTGATGTATTTGAATATAATGTTAAAATTCCTATAAATACGATTTTTAATATCTGTGAGCATGTTTGTGATAAGTTTGTATAAATTATCTCGTTCAATTTAAGTGGGAACTGTAATTAATTATTGTAAATACGTCGATGACCATGAGGTATTTTATTCTCTCAATGAACCTGGACTTCAACACCAGGTTCCGCGTGTACTGCTACAAGATGTCGGCATCTTCCACCTTCGGGAACATCATCCTGGTCTGCATCATGCTGTCGTCGGCCATGTTGGCGGCTGAGGATCCACTTGATGCAGCACAAAAGGGGTTTAGGAATTGGGTAATTATTCTCTTACCTAAATCACGTAATGAAAGTTCAAAGTTGTGCTTATTTCCTGAATTTGTTCAATTTTCAGTCATATATCTTTTATGATTTTCCTAATGAACATTTAATTCAGATTAACATAATTTAGGAATTCAAATATCCTCGCTCTCAATGAAAGTACAGCTGATTAAATTTCCTGATTTAAATTAAAAATTGCTTCACGCTGTCACTTTTTGTAACATCAGATTATTCAGGCTCTACTACAAGATGACGATCCTTTCTAATTTGCCAGAGGCAAATGGAGGATTTAACTTTTTGGACGTGCTTTTCTAGGTTGTTAAATCTTTATTCTTTCTTCTAGCTGTTGAGCCAGTTCGACGTGTTCTTCACCGGCATCTTCACGCTGGAGCTGTTCCTCAAGCTGATCACGTACGGCCTGATCCTGCACGAGGGCGCCTTCCTGAGATCTGCCTTCAACGTCCTCGACATGCTCGTTGTTTGCGTCTCTCTCATCTCTATGAGTTTTAAGTAAGTAAAACGGACTACCTAATTTCTTATTCTTGCTTTAGTTTTAAGTAAACTGCAATTCTTAAGGTCGGTCTTGCAAAGTATCTTTCGGAAATTAAAGCATCTCGCATACATACAAATTGTGTTATTTGTAGCCATTGTTATTGAATGAAGCGTTAATTTCTGTACTTGTATCTCTCATAACACTTTGCTATGTGTTTCAAGATTCAACTAAGAAATTTACGATTGTTTTCATCAAATCAAATCATTTATTTACATACAGACACGGTACATTAGGTAAAAAACAAAATAAATCATTCGTTTCTCTTTGTTTTTAGGTCTGGTAGTATTTCAGTGGTGAAAATATTGCGAGTGTTCAGGGTGCTGAGGCCTCTTAGGGCCATCAATAGGGCTAAGGGCCTTAAGGTGAGGCTTTTTCTCTTTTATTATGAATCCCTTCAATACGTTAAGATTAAAATGAAAATACTTTAAGTAACTGACTATTTAAACTAAATGCACAATGTTGATTGACTTTCTTAAAAATGGATTCTTTATCGACTTTTTCCATGATTATAGCACGTTGTTCAGTGCGTGATCGTTGCAATCAAAACGATCGGGAACATTTTGTTGGTAACATCATTGCTACAATTCATGTTTGCCGTCATGGGAGTCCAAATGTTCAAGGTAGGGGGCACTCCCTTTGTACAAACCCTGAAGGATACCACAGAGTACACCATTATCCATTTTCTCCAATAATCGAATCACGTGTGACTTCACAGAGTGGTGTGAATATGACGAAATATTGTATAAAGTACCAGACTCCTTCTCACAAATCTAAAATCTGTGATTACACCTTTGGGTACTTTTTTCTATCACCCTTGTCACTTTCCATCACTCATTTCTCATGATTATTTTCTTAGTGTTTAAAAGGGTCTATCTAGAGCTTAGCGCGTTAGTCATAATGTGTTTATTTCTCTCTAACTCGCGAGCTAATTATTTGCATATTTTAAAGCTTCAAGATTAATGAGAGAGTTTAAGAAAGCTTTCAAACTGTTTTTATTATTTTAGTAAATGTTGTGGTCTGCTTAATTAATTTACGAATTTTCCGTAAATAAAAAAAGTGTGTTCCAAATATTTTATTATTTTGAAAATTTCGTTTTGTTAGACGAGCATGTAGTAAGATGTCATAGGTAGAAAGTAATTTAACCCATTAGACCCTTTAGTAGTTCGCCAAACATAAGTTATTGTTTAAGTGTCGTTTAAATCAGGCATGTTTTAACTTTGCCTTTGACCCAAAGGTGTAGTACGTGCCTAATCCATAGCATTGTTGGAAACGTAACAACCCCCTACCTTGGCGTTTAAAGTGTTCACCCGTAGGTTCTAACGTGTCGCCCTCTTCCGATATGTGACTAATATTAGAGCGTCCCTGAGTCCTTGATATAGCCCTGTCATTAAAATGGTTTGCTTGTCCCCTATGTCCCGCTGCTGCGTGGTACTGGACTTTGTGGACTGTCCACTCCCTGGTAACGTATACCCGACTAACTCGCACTTTTGTACCTTGAAATGTAGTATGTGGTGAAATGTGTGATAGTAGCGATTAAGACAATAGGAAATATAATGCTAGTTACGTATTTATTACAATTTATGTTTGCTGTCGTCGGTGTACAATTGTTTAAGGTGAGCTTATGACTGTAGATGTAAATATATCGTTCCCTGTTCGCAAATGAGTGAAATCTTTGAAAAAAATATATAAATTAATGTGCACATACAAATAATAATGTACCCTATTAACGTTATTCACAATAATCAATTTAAGCAAAAATTGATTTGAAGATTTCACTCTAGCATGAAAAAAGAAATATTAGTTGCAACTACGCAGTTTTATTGCTAGCATGATCAATAAACAATACAATTTAATTCAACAAATTAGTAAATGTTATTTGCTAAATTATATAAAAGCTTAACTGATACGGAGACTGCAAAACATCATGAGAAATGAGATCAATTAGTTATTGTGTTTATTGGCTGTTCTTTTAGGTGTTGTAGCATGAAATATAACCAAAAATATTAATTTTTAACCCTTATATTGGCTATAGATTTAATCACAGAGAATTTGTTTCAGGGTAAATTTTTTAGGTGTAATGATATTTCTAAAATGACAGAAGAAGAGTGTCAGTAAGTGCTTTTAATAATGTTTTTGTATGTTGCTTAATAGGAGTTGATAAAAGGATTTCATAAAATTGATATCATGTTTCAGGGGGACTTATTTAGTATTTGAGAATCGTAATTATGTAGTGAGAGATAGAGAATGGACTAGGTATGACTTCCATTTTGATAATGTCATGAAAGGTATGCTCACTCTGTTCACTGTGTCCACGTTTGAAGGGTGGCCTGGGTAAGTTATCTAGATGATATTCTTATAAATTGTGTTTCACACACGAACATAAAACAATTCATTTATTTGTTACAGGTTGTTGTATGTATCTATAGATTCGAATGCTGAGGATCGTGGTCCCATTACTAACTTCCGTCCAATTGTTGCAGCCTACTATATTATTTATATTATTATAATTGCCTTCTTTATGGTAAGAAAACATCAAAGTATTAAAATGTTTAGACCTCTAGCTAGATAGAAAAAAATAATAACTCTTAAATGTTTTAGGTAAATATATTCGTCGGTTTCGTCATAGTGACATTCCAAAACGAGGGTGAACAAGAGTATAAAAATTGTGAGTTAGATAAGAATCAAAGAAACTGCATTGAATTTGCTTTGAAAGCAAAACCTATAAGAAGGTAAGATTGTCCTTAACAAGCATCACAAAAAGATTTCTTATATTTTGTGGAACTAAACAACATTACAATTTGCTCAGGTATATACCCAAACATCGCATTCAGTACAAAGTGTGGTGGTTCGTGACGTCACAGCCATTTGAGTACGCGATATTCGTGTTGATCATGATCAACACCATCACACTCGCCATGAAATACCACAACCAGCCTCCAGAGTACAGCAAGGCTCTCGACTTGCTCAACATGATATTTACAGCTGTGTTTGCCTTGGAATTTATATTTAAATTGGCTGCCTTTAGATTTAAGGTATGGCTATATTTTTGTTATGTTGTTCTTCTAAAAATTCCTTCATCAGTTGTTTGTTAATATTACAAGTTATTAGGATCATGAAATCTTGTAGAATTTTAAAGAAACTTAAATTATTTTATACAGAACTACTTTGGGGACGCATGGAACACTTTCGACTTCATCATCGTATTAGGTAGCATCATCGACATCGTTGTGTCTCAAGTAAACGAACTCAAGAACCAGGTAATGAAACAATTTATGTACTGTTACTATAAACACTTCCTTTAGATTATTCACTTTCACTGATAATTTCTGATTTATCTTGAAATATTCATGTGTTGATAAAAATGGATAATTTACTGAAGATATTGAGTGACTGTTTCAAGATGAAGTCAGTTCAGTTACTGTCCCCAGCATGGACAATATCGATGTTGTAATAACAGTACTTGCTACGCAATCTCACAATTATTTTGTTGATAAGACACCAGATTGAAGAGAATATTGATTTCAGGGAAGTGGTATGCCAAGGGCACACGTCGTCAAGGTAAGTTCACGCTTTCACGCTGATAAATACTAAATATGTAACATTAGCTGACCACAGAAAAGATTGTAGAACAATAAAGAATAACACTAAATTAAAAATTACATAAGATTACTTAGCTTTAGAAGCGAATATAATTGGGAATGCTTTAGATGTCGTATGAAATGCAAACGATGTAGCTTTCTGTGTACATACATAAACACATTATGGGACAGTAACGTTATATTCTTATGCAACAACGCATAGTCATACTGTAATATATTTGCAAATTTAAGTTCCTAAACACATTTTATGAATGTCTAAACGGCACTTAGAAAGCTGAAAAAAAATCGGTGGGTAAAATTTTAAATTTTCATCCTCCTCGTAAGTATACTCTCGTTAAAATATGTCTTTATCTATTTATATATTTTTCTTATAAACATCACTAAAATTATATTCATTTAGCACTATAACCTTATGATTAAATACGTATTGTAAAACAATCTTCTATTAGATAAATCTTGTTTTTCAAATAATTTTATAGATTATAGTAGGTATTTGAGTGAGTCATCATAACATAATAATAATTAGGTACCTATTTAGTACTACACAATTAAAAAGTGAATTTCAACGCCATTTTAATGGCAAAATTAATAATGGTTTTGATAAATGAAACTTACAGGAAAGCTCGATTCCATCCATCAATTTCTTCCGACTGTTTCGTGTGATGAGGCTGGTGAAGCTCTTGTCTAGAGGAGAAGGCATCAGGACCCTGCTCTGGACCTTCATCAAGTCCTTCCAAGCATTGCCTTACGTAGCTTTGCTCATCTTGATGCTGTTCTTCATTTATGCTGTAGTAGGCATGCAGGTTAGTGATCTAAATGAAAATAGTACAATTAGGTAAAATTAATTAGAAACAAGAGACCTTTACATTAATCTAAAAATACACAGGAACAATTCTAAAAAGAACAGGGTCATGTTCAAACCCAGTAAGGCTTATTACGATCTGAAAATGAATAGAATTTTCTATATTGTTAACTTTATTGCAGGTGTTTGGAAAAATAGCAATAGATGATGACACACCCATCACAAGGAACAACCACTTCCAAACATTTCCTCAAGCTATCCTTGTACTCTTTCGCTCTGCAACTGGTAAGTTCATTATGAACATTTTTAATAGAATTCTGATAACCTGTAAACTAAAACAAATGAAGTTCAGGACATTGCCCAGGTAATTAGAAGGATTAGTAATAAATAAACGCTTTTGATAACAGGAGAAGCATGGCAGGATATCATGATGGGTGTGTCACCAGAACCTGAAGTGAAGTGTGATAAGAACTACGATGAGGAGGGAGAGGAGGGCGGCGGGACGTGTGGAAGTGTACTTGCCTTTCCATACTTCATATCGTTTTATGTTCTTTGTTCGTTTTTGGTACGTGTCTTACATACCTTTGTTGTGTCTTACTTAAGCATCATTATTTTGTATCAAGAGTGATATTAAGCCAATTGGTTGATTTCCAGATTATTAATTTATTCGTCGCCGTCATTATGGATAATTTTGACTATTTAACCAGAGACTGGTCAATATTGGGACCACACCACTTAGATGAATTTATAAGGTAAAATATTTAATCTACATCATTATTATGATTTTTTATACATCTGATAACTTTAACGTCTTTTCAGATTATGGAGTGAATACGATCCCGACGCAAAGGGTAGAATAAAACATTTAGATGTAGTTACGTTATTAAGGAAAATTAGTCCACCTTTAGGTGAGTACAAGTTTTTACTAATCTATTCAAAAGGTGATATAGTCGTCTATATATGACTGCTCGCTGATTTACAAATACCTACAACTGTTTTGGCTATATTTAAGAAACCTAATTTACCCGGTACATTTACCAAACCAAAAGGCATCGAATAGTCATAAAATGTTTGCTTAGTTTTTGATAGTTTTACATTAGTAGAAAATATTTTTTCACGTGTATATTTGCAGGTTTCGGTAAGCTGTGTCCACATAGGGTGGCGTGCAAAAGACTCGTGTCTATGAACATGCCATTAAATTCAGATGGCACAGTGTTATTCAACGCGACGTTATTTGCTGTTGTCAGAACGTCGCTTAAAATAAAGACAGAAGGTAAGTCTTTAGTTTTAAAGTAAGTTTTTGGTCTGCAAGAATTGAGCTTGGTCAGAGTAAATTTTCAAACAAATATTTTGGAACTTACAGGTAACATAGATGACTGTAATACAGAATTAAGGGCAGTAATAAAGAAAATATGGAAACGGACGTCACCCAAACTATTAGATCAGGTAGTACCGCCTCCTGGAGACCCCAACGAGATCACAGTGGGCAAGTTTTACGCCACGTTCCTGATACAAGACTACTTCAGAAGGTTAGTAGATGTTGATGGTGTTTTATAATTTTATTTATGCTTTCAAATTTTCAAAATTATTTATCTTCTGAATTACATTTTCTCCGGCTTTTAATAAGTTTACATAGGTTTTTGGAATGATGCACAAAATTTGTAATACCTTTGAAATCATCGACTTCTATTACTATTGAGAAATGTGAATTTTGGATCAATATGCATTTGATATTTATAAACAAATCTACCAGGGATGTTTTATCCTATTATATTATTATTTTTCTCCCTGATTATTTGATATTTTTTATCGTTCGCTTTTTGTTCGGTTAAAACTGACATAGTTATTTTTGTTCCATAGGAATCACGCGTAAGTAACGCAAGGATACGTATGTTTTATAGGAAAAAGAGAATGTTCCCTTTTTTAGTGTTTTAATCATAAAAGCTGCGATGATGATCCTTTGCGAATTAGATTTAATTATGAACATAGTAAACGTTTTACCGTTAACCATCCAAAAGTATCAAGTACGAGCCATCTACGTTAATCAATATTCCATGCATGGTGCCCCTTATTTTGGAAACTAAGAAAATAATGCAATACTTAGCTTTGTTGATAAGAACCATTTTTCCTTTATTTACAAAAACTTGCTTCCAGTAAGCATGCCGATGTTTTGATCATTCCAGTACCTAAGTCAGTCGTACAGTTACAAACACTTTTATCCCCTTTTGTGATTATTACATGTTGTGTTTTTGTGATATTTTGTACCCAAATAATTTTAGTTTTAGATGTTACGCGCAAAACAAATAACTACACATGACTTTTGGAAACTTTTGAATTTCTAGATTTATGAATCACCATTACTTTAAAATTTTGGATTTCATGGCTTTTTATAAATTCAACAACTTAAAGCTAGATGATTTTTATTCAATTAAATAGCAAAATAAAGTTATTTTTAGAAAATAAAATATTAATAATAGACGCTTAAAAATTAGTCGACATTTTCGATTCACTAGTTAGAAGCGATAGATGCACTTAAAATCTTTCAAGAAGTTGATAACATTTAGAACTTTTTAGTAATATTTCTGATTCTTCAAAAAAAGGTTTAAGAAGAGAAAGGAGCAAGAGATGAGGCAGAATGACGAGCAAACCCACCAGATGACGCTGCAAGCTGGTCTTCGAACTCTTCACGAAGCAGGGCCAGAACTCAAGAGAGCTATTTCAGGAAATTTGGATGATATCCAGACAGAATGTGATGTGCCCATGCATAGAGTAAGTTTACATTTTAAAGATGATGAAATTTAACATGACTGCTTGCCAAATTCTGGCGAATTTTTAGATTCTAAATGATTTTCTTCGTCTTCACAGAGAAATCACTCACTATTTGGAGGCGTTTGGTCAAGTATACGAAGACATGGTCCGAACAGGCATTTCCACAGGCACCGGAAACATGGAGAACCTCCAGCAGGTAAACAGGTTTTTAATCAATTCCACATTACACTGACAAGCTAATAAATTTACAGTTTCATTGTTTAATATTTATATTTATAGATGGTGTTGGCAATCATTTAAGTTCAATGATGCAACGGGAGTACGGAATGGGACCTATACCACTCGCGCCGAATCTGTAAGTATCGATGTTATTTTTAATTTTCAATTAAGCCTGAGTAAAAGTAGGTACAGAAATAAAACAATTCTAAAATTTCAGTGCCAACGGACAACCGAAAGAGCAAATACCACTAAGACCTCTAATATTCAACGGGGAATCAGAAAAGATATACCAAGTGCTAGAGTAAGTATAAATGTAACTAGTAACACAAATGCTATCGATGTATAACAATGACCATCAAATAAACGGGCTGTGAAACAGCATAACAGTGTAAAACAAACTCAAATGATCGCTTATTGTATTGCAGAAGAACCACAAACGATCTAAAGAACGCTATATACTCAGGTAGTCAAACGTGTGTTATTGCAGTGTTCTTCCTCTCAATTGCACGTAAACTAACAACTTTCTAATGTACTAACACTAACGCTAACACGCACTCGCACACACAGCAATCAAAAGTCGAACTACCCGGAGATGCTGGGTCAGATCGGGCTCGCGTTCGGCTGCGTCAACTACTTGACGACATCCGAGCGGAGCGGGGGCTCCCGGCAGCGGGTGCACCCGGAAGAGGCGACGACGTCACGGGAGCGTTTAGCGGTGCCGAGGAAAGCGTCGCCGGAGGATAAGACGCCGTCGCCTGGGGTAGCAGACGCGTCGATCCAGCCGAAGATATCGCCGCATTTGGCGAGCGAGTGCACGCCGACGACGGAGTCGTGCACGATGACGCTGTACGGCTACAACGCGGCGGCGCGGCTGCCGTTCGCGTTCTCGCACGCAGCGCGCGGCGAGCGGGGCGGCGAGCGGCGCAGCCTGCGCGCGGCGCGCGTGGAGCCGCCGGCAGGTCGGATGGTGCGCAGCGCGTCGTCGGGCGCGGCCCCGCATGCGCCGCGTCGAGTAGAACGCTCGCACTCGCCAGGTCCGCACCGCACGGGAGCTTCCTTCCTTTCTCACTTGTTTCTTGATGAGTTAGATTGTCTTATGAGAGTTTTATAGCTGGAAAACATTTTAATGTTCAGTACGAAAATTTGTATTAGCCTTTTCAATATTTGTAATTGTCTGTGTCATATTAGTATCTACTTATTGATCCAGAAATGTGTCTTTCTGAAAACTACGATGCTATGAAAAATAACATTAACAAAATGACTTAAAAAAATTAGTGTGGGTAACTTACTGATAGTAAATTCCCTTAATTTGGAATCTACACATTGATTTTAAGAAATAATTATAGTGGTACCTACATATTATATCAAGCTTAAAAAGAAACTTTAAAGCTTCTTAAAAGTATTTCTATAAGTATCTACGTAGGATTTTGAGATTTGTAAAATTTTTGGTAATAACAACGAAGGGAGCTCCTTACACTACATAACGCTTATTTCACTGACGAACATTCGAGCATTTCAGGAGAAAGCTTTAACTTCTGAACCGACCGAATCAACGATCAACATGGTACGCGTATCCACAACACTCTGCTTCAGCTGATTTCGAATTTTCTCGCAATATTGCAATATTTCACTATTTACATTTTAAAGTAAACACTTTTAATCACACTGACATGAACTTGCACATACTTTAATTGGAAGGTAAAATATTTTTGTATTCCATTTCACTTCCATAACCTCGAGAAAATTTTAACTAACTGAATTACCGAAACTAATCATCAAATTAAAACTAATAGCATGTAAAATAACACGCCACATCCGAAGCTCTTAGAACTGCATTAGTTTAGTTGAGGACCTAGCAGCTTTTAGAAGACATAAATACTTAGTTTCATGTAAAGATGAGTTGGTTTGGAGTAGGGTTTGCACGAAGTTTGTTTAAAATCATGAAATTTTCACGAGGACGGGATGATTTAGATGTGCCGCAAGTATAGCATCAGAAGTCATTGCTTTAGAAGACCAATAGAATTAGGCTGGCTAATACTAGCTTCGAAATGTATGAAATAGATTTTATTATAATAGAATAGACAATTCAATCCTTTTTATCAACTTTGAAATTCAGTTTTGAAACAGTTTTTTTCCAAAATGTAACTTTTGAATAATAATGGAAGAACTATGGTCTCATAAATGATTCCACATTATTTCTTATCTCTTTTTTTATCAGAATCATAGTGTAACTTTTAAATTAGTGCTCTACAATGTCTGCTGTACATAAGAGAAAACATCTAGATATACAAATTGACTATACCTCACTTGCAGGCGGAGATAGCTCGGGCCGAGGTGTGGTCTCGCTTCCGGGCAGCCCGAGGGGGATCAACAGCTCATCAGTACCCGTTGTTGGATCTGCCGAAAGCTTAGTTACTAGGGTAAAATGAAATTTCGACCAATTGGTAGTTATTTGATGGAATTCCTTGAATGTAATCTAAAATACTCACTGATGATTTTGTCGACAGGTACTAGCCGAACAGGGCTTAGGAGCGTATTGTGATGCTGAATTTGTAAGGAACACATCTAGGGAAATGCAAGAGGCTCTTGAAATGACGCAAGAACAGATGGATAGGTAAAAACTTTTTACTTTTTTATCACTTTGTCATTACCTAGTTGAGGAACTGGAATATTAAAAATGTTCAACATTATTGCAGAGCGGCGCACCAACTGATGATACAAGAAAAGAATATTAAACAAGTTCAAAACCAACAACCACAAGTTGTAAGTATTGTTACATTTGCGAGTTGCTTCACCATCTAATTTCAAATTTACATTCCATTTTAATGACAGCATATAGCATGACAGCATGCACTCCTTATTCCCAATAAATGATTATCAGAATTAATTACTTACTAACAAATATGTTGCCATTAATGACTAGATAGTGAAGCAAATCAGTTTTCGTAGTGACACTAACCCGACTATTATGGTAAAAATAAATATATAGGGTACGATTTGGGTTATAGGGCGACATCCTAGCCCGCCAGTACCATCCTTTCCACCAGCCCGCGACGATGCCGCCGCCGCCCTACAAGCGGTTATAGCACCAGCTGACCACGAGCTGGACCACGCCGCGCTGCTCGACGCGCAAGATGGGGCACGCGTATGCAGGCACGGCCGGCGGCACCACAGGCGGAAAAGAAAACGAAAACCAGTGCTGGTTTAGATGTAACCTCTTAAAAACTAGCGTAAACGTTTCTTATTTATGAATACTTCGTAATGCTCTACATTCGAGACTTGATTGGTAATGCTCAAAATTTCTTCAACTTTCTTTCTCTTTATTCTAATTCAATGACCAGGAGGATCAACTTTAGAATATATTTAAATAATTTTTAAAAGGATTTTCTAGTAAACTGTGTGTAACAGTAAAAGTGAGATTTATAGTTCAATAGGGTAATTTAAAATTGGTAAACAATTAGGGCCAAGATAGATTGTAATGTCAGTCGGCTAGGCTAGACGAAGGTAAGTTTCAATAGAACTAAAACTTGGCCCGATTAGATAATTTTAATATAAAAATGTAATAAATTTTTGGAGATTCCTGAGAGAGACGAAATTATCTCTAAAAATAAAACAATAATAGGTAAAGGTAATTTTACATGTTATTGTACAGATATGAAAAATGTTACGTTATTGTGTTGATTTATTTTGGATAATAATTATAATATCTACTTTTAGATATTTTTCGGTATGTTTCAATAAAATATATTTGTCTCTTTGTTACTGTCTTGTACTGAATTGGTTTGCTTAGTTAGAAATTTAGAATATTTAATACTAAGCAATGTGTGTTACCTACGCCGAGTTTTATTCAGTTTTCGGCTGAAACACAAACTTTCTGACGAAATTCAAAATTGGCAGCTTGTGTAATAAAACAATTAATATTTTATTTCCTCGATTCATAAGACAATATTTAATAGAAAGACTTCAAAGAACTGATTTAAAGATAACCCTAGATGCAGGGATTTCCAATTTTCCGTAGTGTGGGGAGCCTAATTTATAAGATTAAAGCATTATTATAACTAGCTAAGGTCACTTGCCAATCTACTGTGCATGCCAGGATCAGAAGTAACGACAAGTGGTAGCCGTAGTTTTAGTTTCGCTTCAAAAATATTTCTTACTTGCTAATACATTTTATAAATTATGCTCCTCTTGGTAACTTAGCGTCGACCACTTTTTAAAAGCAAATCTACCTTAATGGTGCCAAACTGTAGCTTTAATGGCACCACCCACTAAGAAAAGTCACTTTTTTCAATGTTTTATTGATTCGTATTTGATTATAGAGATTTATCAAAATTTCAACCATGATTAACGCAGTTAAAATCATGCTTGATCTTTATCATCCTGAAAAAACTATAATGAACTGTGTAACACGGCTTGTGTTCATTAGGATCTGTAAATTTAGCTAAGTAGGTCTCTTGGTCCTTTTTATATTTATGTCCACTGTCTTTTGGGATTGTTTTATTTTATTAAATACTTACTTACGTGCGTGATACATATATCGGAGGCATCAATTATTTTTTTCATAGGAAATAATTAGGTTTTCCTTAAGCACGTCGTGCGTGGCGGTATTGAATGTTACAAGATACGCGCTTTCATAAAAGGAAAGTTCGTGATGGACTCAATTACATATAGAAAAAATAATTACCTAGGTACCTACTTACCTATGGCACACACACCAAAAGCATTTAATATTGTCATTAAAAGATACTACTTACTTTCATTTGTTTTATCTTCATTCGTCAACATCACATTTTTGTTTAATTTGCAACAGTTTAAAATACCTCTTACTGGCTCTTACCATAATTAATTACTTATGTTGAACAATAGTTTAATATTTTTATGTGGATATTAACCACACAGTTGACTGATTCCTAAACGCTGAAAAGGCAGTTTTAGTACATAAACAGCTTCGCTCGTTGGTACTCGCCTCACTCACTAGACAGTTGTCGCTAGTAGCGCTAGTGTCGACATGATGAAGGGTAGTATTAAAATCATACAACTCAACCTACCCACTTTATTCAAATGCGTAAATGCCTCATTTACTATACCATCACAGTGTTATTAGAGTAGCAAAATAAATGAAAGAAATACCAATGTACTTCTAGTTCTAAGAAAACCCCTAGAAAGTGTCCTTTTAATGTTTGATAAAGCGACGTAGCCTAGAATCGTGAACGCCCTCGCCCCTAAATCACATTCCTCTAGAATTAAGACATTATAACCTTTGAAGATTTTTTGAGTTTACAGAAAAGGAAGCTTCCAGCTTAATTTACTTAGAGAGGCTTCCGGAAAATCTAATGTGCCAACTTTGCAATATGAAGCAAAAGCAATTTGTTACTTCTGCCATTTTTATTACCATGGAGGAGAGTTAAATCTTTACTTTACAATATTACTTGTGTCTTTATTCCTGTGATGCGGATTTTAGTCCGCGTGCGTGTAAAAAATCACGCTGCTAAGTAGTTGCGGAGGACTAGGATTTAGTATAGTGTGTCCGCAACCAGCCTATCCGCGTACCGCGTGCGTAATAGGAAAAACATTAACGATTAAATCCGCACACGTGCCGAAATCTCCATCACAGGAAAAAGGCACTAATTTGTAATCTTTTCTAACAAAATAAGTAATTTTTATTACATTAAATATTTTGGTCTTTACACTATGTAGCAGTTACCTAATGTACTGTAATGTACCATTGGTTCTAAATTACCTATGAGTTAGTTCCCTAATTTATTACATTTTTGTCTCAAATACAATTGGACTGTTATTCTATTATTTTAATATTTTATAATTACTTTACCTATTTGTAAAGAAATAATCCGAGTATGGAAATACTAAGTAGATACCTATTATTGTTGTGCATTCAAAGTTACTCAAAATTCAAGTAGGTAATGCTTTTGGGAAAAGTGAGATAATTTTAAATATCCAATCAAGTTGTATGTGTAAATAATGTACAATATACAAAACTCATACTATGAGGCCATCATTTTAAGTATGTAGTTCCATTTTTATATGCTAGCGAGGTGGCTAGGTAACTTTGTACATAAATGTGTAAATAAAAACATAAGTGAAAGATATATTTATTCCGTCAATCATATTAAATTGATACATTATTAATTATCTATTTATGGTTTAAAAGAAACATTGTAAAATTGTTTTCATATAATTAAAAGATGAGAGAATCAAAACAAGCAATTTTATTTTAGTTACTCCTATTTATGTGTAGTAGGTATCTAGCCCAAAACAAACAGAAGGAAAATGGGAAAGTTTAAATGAAAGAAAGTATATTTTTGATAATATTTATTTATCAATCAAAGTCCCTCTGACTCTCTTCTCTGTAGCCTGTGCAGGGGTCTCTGCTTGCCTCTTGTTCATTCCCTTCCTTTCCAACTGCTTCTCAATAATCCTGGCATTGTTGGCATAGCTGTCGGCAACCTCCCTAGCTTCAATTTCATCTTCCTCCTCATCTATAGTTGAAACTGTGACAGAACTGAATTTACCCATATTCTTTGTGTGTTTTGTCACCATAATCTTCTTAGGTTGAGCCAAAGCGACCTGTTTGTATATGTCTGTAACACCCCCTTCCCCGGCCGACTGAACAAGTGCCCCTCTCATTATAAAGGCAATATTACTGTCTTGATCATGCTTGTAGTATAATGGTACAGCACATTTCTTGCACTTTAATCTGTACTGCCTTTCAATACCTTTCTCTCGCTTCAAGTATATCGTCTCGTCTGGGTCGGAAGTGATTTTGTGAGCGTGTTTCGAGCCGTCTATGACTCTTGCACCATCGGTAGGTCGCAAAGGCAGACGATCTATAGTACAGTCCAATATCAGCGTCATTTGACCGCAAATGCAATAGTAAATGTGCAGTGGTTTGGTCTCATTGTACTCCTCTTGGTCTTTTGTGTCTGAACATACAATACTTCTTGATACAACTTTTGGCATGGTGATAGGAACAGGAGATTTGTAATGAAGAAAATTCACCAAAAATACAGTCTTCTTAGAACACAAACGATAGCCACTAACACAAGGTAAACGAAAAGGGTAATGAAATAAAAAATATATACGAATATGAAAATAATTTCAAATCTTGAGGACACCACGGATTTATCCAAATATTTATGAATTTGTACGTAAAAATCCGCAAAATATTTTTCGTGTTTTTTACGAAATATTTTGACAGTTGACACTGACAGTTGTTTTCTTTTCACATTTTGTTGTAGCATTGGACCAGTAAATTTTAATCCAAATTAATGATTTTGAGCGTGTATCCGAACTGAATTTTGGAGGTGATACCGTTATTTTAACGGTATTTGGTCTATGGTTTTTGTTTTAATGTTGGCATCACTTACTGTCAACTTCACACTGCTGCGATTGTCTTTTATTCCACAGATTTGTTGCACATGTTCATCGATTTCTGTGGAATTTAGGGAAAGTAATACCGAAAATCTTGTTAAAATGGGTGGTATAGCAAGCAGATACCGTGTTCACAATTCAGGGCTTACCAGCACCGATATGAAAAACATAGAAAGTGAGAGCAAACGTGAAAACCCGGGCACATTGGATGAATTACATAAAAAGACCAAAGGTGAGCTTTTTAAGCGTTTTGTCGATATTTTTACATGTTAAATACAGTATAGATCCTTTACAGTACCACATACAAAGGTTTTTATTATGCATTCAGTCAGAAATAGCTTGTAAACAAACATTTGATGCGCTCGAAAAGTTGGGTTATCTTGTGATGTAATATAAGCCTTTTCATGGATACAACTATCAGTTCAAGGTCTGCACATACTAAAATATTAATTCATTGCTAAAAAGCATGCTTTACACTTATGACATGTCCATTTTTTGCTCAATTTCTGATGCTCTGTCTGACTTGACTACTCATGCTTGCTGTTTACTCTACGATAAGGTTATCGGCATCTCTATTGAGCAATTTGGAGTACCTTCGTGCCTTTTGAAACTCATAAAAAAGTGCTGCACACTTCATATGATACTGATAGTAAAGTAATAATTTTCAATTCAGCTTATTTACAGAGTTAATAGAATTTAGGTCAAACCAACAAATAGGTTTCATACTCAGAATACAGAACAAACCAGAAGGAGTGTTCGATAACATTTCTACGCGGCAACTTGTGTCCAAAATACTTCCCCTCCCGCGCCCCTCTACCCCCTTTAGTGTTACTAGCGCCGTGTGACACCCCCATTTTTGGGGTAAAATTATGTAATTTTTTAAAGAGATGTTAAACAAGTAAAAAATAAGTAAGTGAAATAAGTACACACGGCCACAGNGATCCCATGCACTTTCTTCGTAATTCCAGTAGCATTCTTACATGTTGGAACGGCAGAAGACGGCATAATTTAATTATAAAGTGTCAATCTGACGGATATGTAAACAATGCGCGCGCCGGCCATTGACTAATTGCTCTAAAGTCAATTTAGTGCGATTTGGAGTACTTTATATGAATACACATTTACGCCCGTTGACGGTTTCTGGTTTGTTCCGTATTCTGAGGTTTCATATCTCAAGTGACATTATTGCTTATTGTTCTTTCATTCCATTGAAAGTCAATTAATTCAATCATAAATTCAATTTCTTTTTAAAAAGGTGTCTACAATCTTTATCTCTTCCATTAGATTATAATTTTAGGTCTCCAATTTTCAGATGTAATGCCAGTTAATTTTGAAGGAGGCAAATTAATGGTGAATAAGGGCATTTCTAATCACTTCCAGGTGAGTTTCATCTTTTATAAACTTGTTATTGTCTCTAATTAAATCATAAGGTTTAATTTCAATGCTATACTTTAAGCCTGTTATTTAACCATCAACTCACTATAACTGTACCTATAACTGGTGTATTTTTTTGTATGCAGTTTGACAGATTTTTTTTATGTTTGTCAAAGTTATAGTAAGATGGCGCAGCCTAACTATAATTTTGTTCTTCCATAGATGTCGCACACATTAACAATGAGTTCAGCACAAAACGGATACAAATTAGGAGCCACGTACATCGGCACAAAGCAAATCTCTCCAACAGAGGCATTCCCCGTAGTGCTGGGAGATGTAGACCCAGCTGGCAACGTCAACTTCAATCTTATACACCAGCTCACTTCGGAGATCAGAGTCAAGGGTGCTGCTCAGGTATGTAATTTTTTTTAACTATACATATTTTAATTTTTTAGTCTGTCAGTCGAATGTTTAGTGACACCGTTACCGGAAAATATGTTTAGTGATCTAGGGTTAACAGCAAATGATGGGGTTCAAGTTCAAAGAACCGCCCCTGGAATTGGTAGTCTGACACTAACACTATGGTGCTATTGTGGCTTCTGTAACAACTTTAATTCTGTACAATAGCTTTTCATAAGCATATTTTGAATATGTTTTTTTGTGTATTTTCAGATTCAAGAATGCAAGCTCACCGCCACGCAAGGCACTCTAGAGTACAAAGGCTCGGACTACACAATTGCAATGGCAGTTGGCAAACCAGACTTCAGTGAAAAGTCTGCTGTCTTCGTGGGACACTATTTACAGGTAATCTTTAGTTTTAAACAGAACCCAAGCTTTGACTGGCACATAAAAAAACTTAAAGACAGACCTGTGAGGTCACTTTTTCACTTTGTTGACTTCAAGTGTGGAATTGTGGATGTGCTAAGAGAAAAAAGTTTCCTTAATTGCATTTAAATTCTGTTATCATAAGTGGCAACTTATGAATTTTGCAGTAAACATGTTATGTATTAATTTTGACTACTGTGTCAATAAAGTTTTTTCTTCCTTTATTAAAACATATCCATACAGTCGTAATTAAAATTTCTTAGAGATTACAGTCGCTTCTCAAACTAAATTTTAATGACTTGAAAAAATTGAACTGCCTAAGGCTCTTTAACACTGTGGATAACACTTAGTTCTAAGCACTTTTACAACATTCCATGTATGCGTATTTGTCATGTTGGTTGTCCTAATAAATAAAATAAAATATGAAACCAAGTGTGTTCCGAGTTTCGAGTGTCCGATATTTCGGCACCGTTGCAAGCAATCTCTCAATAATTATACTGTTAGTGACCATGAAGGTTTAAAACAATATAAACAATTTGTGTAGACTCCCTAACATCGTCATCAAACCAAGTGTGTAAAAGATACCGTTTTGAATAAACATAATTAATGTTAATCTTACCGGAAAACGCAGCATGGGACGTCCACCCACAAGGTGGACCGACGACATCGTAAAGGTATCAGGAAAGCGCTGGACGCAGGCCGCTACCAACCGGGCAGCATGGAAAGCATTGGGGAGGCCTATGTTCAGCAATGGCTGTGATGATTATGATGACGAATGAATGTTTGTGTTCAGTCGGTGACGCGGCGGCTGGCGCTGGGAGCCGAGCTGGTGTACCAGGCGGGAGCGCGCGTCATGGGCGGCGAGATTGCCATCGCGTCCGCTGCGGCCAGATATACCATGGACGGTGAGTACTTCAAGGGATCTACGTCAACAGTCACTAAAGCCCGGTCTTTGAGCACGTAGAATTTTGTCCAATGACCCCAAGCTACCCATCCTTAGCGCTCGCGCGTAATTATATTCCTGTCGCGTTCGCACACTCACTGCGGGCTCCCGTCGCACAGTCGCGACAGCAATATAATGACGCGCGAGCAATAAGGATGGGTAGCTTGGGGTCATTGGACAAAATTCTACGTGCTCACAGACTAGACTATAGAGATAAATATTATAGCTTTACATTCCACATAACAGTTTTATTTAATTAATCCGTATTGTTTGCGGCCCCACTTTGGTAAAAGCCTCCTCCATCATTTTCCACCTTTCCCTGTCGCTTGCTATGAGCATAGGCACTTATACACCGTTCCAAATATTGCTTGCCCTAACACCACTTCAGGACAACAGATCAGTTGGTACTAAGAAATAGCTAAAGAAACTCCGACACCTTTGTAATTCTGATATTTTGTAATATTTATCTGTTCTCAGATTCCGAAGTGTCAGCCACATTAGGTGCTGCGGGCTTCCACTTGTGCTACTTTAAGCAAGCTAGTGAACAGTTACAGGTACGCAATCAATTTTATTATATTAAAATTTAAAATATTCAAATACAATTGAGAAAGTCAATAGAAAAACTCTTTTACTTTGTTGACATAATTTTGCTTGCTTCTTACAGATAGTAGCTGAGATAGACACTTCGTTCCGTGGCATGGAGTCCGTGGGCACTATCGGTTATCAAGTCACCATACCTAAAGCTGAATTGGTCTTCAGAGGTTAGTATCCAGACAGTTATCAGTTTTGTCATTCATTTGAATTTTGAATGAAACTCGTTTCGAAATAACTGTTTAATTAATTAATTATGTACTGAAGTATTGTAGCAACATAATTCCTACCTTCTAATAAAACTGATGTACCTCGCTAGTGTATTTATCATTAGCATATAACAGCCCACTGCATAAAATAGGTACCCCAATTTGCGTCATCTTACCCTGTCTTCAGTTAGTCACTTGTTTGTATACTTTTTACGCTCAGAATACAGAACAAACCAGAAGGAGTGTTCGATAACATTTCTACGCGGCAACTTGTGTCCAAAATACTTCCCCTCCCGCGCCCCTCTACCCCCTTTAGTGTTACTAGCGCCGTGTGACACCCCCATTTTCGGGGTAAAATTATGTAATTTTTTAATGAGATGTTAAACAAGTAAAAAATAAGTAAGTGAAATAAGTACACACGGCCACAGTATTAACTATCCATTTCCGTTTTTGCTCTCGCTCTCATCAAATGGTGATTCTTTGCGATAGAACGAGACGACATGACTGGCCATAGGCATAGATAGTACCTACCTACCTATGAATTTAATTTTTACTCCGAAGTAACTAAGTGTAGATGATTATTTATTTCTATTAAATAGTGTAATATACTACATGTAGGTATAATATGTTATTTAAAAGTCAATTACAAAAGTCGAATATAAATTTTAGAATGCCAAGTAAAACAAAAAAGAAACTTAAGGTTCTTTATTATGTAAACATATCGACAACAAAACATTTGTTTACGGCGCAGTAGTGCTTTTAGTTTAACTTTTCTTGGAGTCAAAAACAGAATCCAAATCAAAAACATCACCAATACT